CTCGGATCCACGCCACGGGCCCAACTGCTGGCCCGCCACGCAGCCCGCCGGGTCCTGATTGGCTCGCTGCCGGCGTCACTGCCGTTGGCTCCGACGGCTTCAGGGAGTGGGCCCTAGGCACGTACTCTATGGCGATTGGCCATTTTCTCAACCGGTGCAACTGCTCTTTTGATTGGTCGTTACTTTGGGCGGGAAGTGGTTACCTGATGGTGGCCAATGCGCAGCAGGTGGACCTGCGCAGCGCCCGCGGGAAGCTGCAGGGCTGAGCGACTTGGAGGGGCAGCCACAGGAGGAGGGAAGCGCCCCTGATTAGGGGCAGAGGCCACCGGAGCTTACACCACCTTCACCCCATATGCTCATGCTTAAAATGCAGTCTCAGTGACGGAGCAGGAGTGTTGGAATTGATGGGCTGGTTCTGAAAGGTGCTTGCAGACTTAAGCTTGAGCAACACATGCTAGGGCTATTCAGTTAGCAGCCTTTTCCTGGTGCTGATGTTAGTATCCTCCGCTAAGAATTTTGAAGTCCTGGGTCTGCCAGGGGCCGATTGATCACCAGACTCCTGCACGTGAGAGGTTCCCAGAAGCAGCTGGGAAGCTCTAGGAGGGAGGCCGGGGTTAGGGTTAGGGTGTTCAGCCTTCCAGCGGACTTAGGACTGATTAGCAGGATCTTTTAAAAAGTGTCCTGAGTTTAACAAGCTTTTCTGTTAAGATTGCAAACAAGACAAGGATGTCCACTATCCCCACTTCTATTCAACGTAGTTCTGAAGGTCCTGGCCACGGCAATCAGACAACACAAAGAAATAAAAGGCATCCAGATTGGCAAGAAAGAAGTCAAACTATCCCTGTTGGCAGATGACATGATATTGTACATAAAAACCCTAAAGACTCCACTCCAAAACTACTAGATCTAATATCTAAATTCAGCAAAGTTGCAGGATACAAAATTAATACACAGAAATCTGTTGCATTCCTATACACTGATGAACTAGCAGAGAGAGAAATCAGAAAAACAATTCCATTCACAATTGCATCAAAAAGAAAAAAATACCTAGGAATAAACCTAACCAAGGAAGTGAAAGACCTATGCTCTGAAAACTACGAGACACTCTTAAGAGAAATTAAAGAGGACACTAATAAATGGAAATTCATCCCATGCTGTTGGATGGAAAGAATTCATAT